GTACTGCTGAACGGCTGCGCCCTGCACGGAAGCAGTGTGGGAAGGCGGCCCAGCTCACTAGCTTCTTGTCAGATCAAGGGGCGTCACTTAGGTGGCGCGTTGGCATCTTCGTCTCGTTCACGACGACGATGTTCGGTTCGGCACTTGCATTGTATGCCATATCTGGTCTCGGGATACTTTTATCCTTGCCGTAGTTCTCTTCGATACCTGATGAGTACTACGTATCCCCTAGCCGTCCATCTCGAACGGCAGTTATCTCGAACGGCAATTTCAGCTCTTGCAACCGGCGTCCTTCATGAAGAGCATCGAGCCTCGGCATCGCTCAACCTAGCGACTGCGGAGCACCCATTGAATGAGTGCCTCGATGCACTCACTCAACTGTCTTCTGACTATCTTTGCATCGAGTTCCTGGCGGTAGCTCGTAACTGTCTCCTGGTTCACGACGCGCGTATAGTAGACGCCATAGCCATCTTCGGCATCGCGGCATGGTGTGGTATCAAACTTTCTTATGGATGCATGGTAGCGCGATTGGATGCCAGTCAGGATGGTAGTCCGAGCGACTGATTATCTTAACTTCGTGCTTACTTTCGATTGGTGTTGAACAGCAACCAACAACTCTACCAACGATGCGTACCGTATGGCCACCCACTCATGCGGAAAGCTGTCGGCCAGGCCAGATACTCATTTGGTGCCGCTTGTGTATAGTGATAGCGCAAGTATAAGAGAGTGTCCTCCGCCAGCCGATTCCCCATTCTCCGTTTCTTCTTCACTTCTTTCTTCACTTCACTTTTCTTTCACTTTTACTTCACCCTTTTATTCTACCATACCGCACACCGCCCGCGAATACCCAATTCTTTCATTTTAAGCCATGTTCTTCTCCCATTCCCACATCTTTCTCAGCATTCTCTTCGCCGTGCAGCTCTCGCCCAGCATTGCTGCGCCCGCCCCTCTGATCGACGGGTCTACGGCCCTCGAGGCGCGTGCAACGGATAACACCAAGATCTCTCTATACAAGAGTAAGTCTCATTACATGCTTCGACTTTCACTGGTAGTGACCCAGTCATCCTTAGATGGTCTACCCGAGGGCAACATGACTATCCCCTCCACCCTCGACGAGCTTCCAGGGCCGTCTGGAGAGAGCTCGCAGCCGCCGGTCTTTGCCTTAGGCTATGATGTGCAATCGACCGAGCCCGAACAGAACGTCGCGCTGCCTTTGAACACCCGCTTCGAAGAATCGCGCGGTAAGTCTACATTCGCCGCGGCGAGACTCAGATGAAGTGCATCTAAAGCATCGCTCTGCAGCTCTCCGAGGCAATGACTCTGTCAGCGACGGCGTTACTATCCTCGCGGAAGAGCCAAAGCAAACCGATCAGGACGAACGGCAGCTCGGGCGGATTGGGACCGACGTTGGGTCGTTGGGGACGTCTTTGCGGCGCCATCTGCAGTGGCCCGGTTCGGGATCGTCTCACCCTAACGGCGGGTCAGAAGGAGATAGTGCTCATGGTGGCTCCCGGAACCCCAACAACCAGCCGAAGATAGGTGGCACGGTGTTCGCGGGTCCTGAACAGCAACGGTGAGTGAGGATAAAGCAACTCGAGGACTTAGGCCGGCTGGGGAGATCTTGCAGTTGTGAGGAGATAGGTAGCGCTGGCGAGGCGGGATGTTTGTTAATGGGATATACGTTGTTGTCGTTCTTCTCCAATACACACAAGTCGCGCGAGGCGGAGCTGTTGGTAGATCGTAAGCCCGACATCGGTCAGACAGGATAGGGGCTCTTGACACTGAACGACCGAGATTGTGCTTAGCATTCAATGTGACCATTGGCCGAAGAAGAGAAAGATATTACAGGTGTGTAATAGTCAAGGATAATGTACAGGGAAGGCCGTAGGAGATGTCAAGTAGCGATAGCTGTCATGATGGCTTGTCCGCCCATACTGGTTTTGCGTTATCAGGATCGACAGACTGCACTCAAATCAATATGTGCAATGTGCAAGTCTATCGAGAGTTGCTTTCACCTTGATATTATGTTGTTCCCTGTACTCTTGCTCCATAGCAAGCCGAGCAGCACGGTTCGCGTCAACTCGCTTTCGCAAGTCCGGCGCCATAGCCTATCAGACAGTGAGTACAGAAACAAACCATCATGATAGATGCGACACGAACCGCATACGTTTGTTCCGGCGTTGGCACGACAGCTATAGACCATGTCAGCAACAATGATTGTATCTCCGCAACTGCGAACTGCACACACCCTTCATAAGGCCGACGCCTAAGGCTGTTACTAACAACGGTACGATGGCTCCAGCGAGCTGTAAGGGGATACATAGACATAGTTCACGTACGGCCGACAAATGTACCGATGAACTTGATAGCCGTGCCGGCGGACGAGGACATGATGGTGGGAGGAGAACACAAGCGCGGGCGTGTTGGCCGCTTCGGGCTGCGATGACATCTCGCATGCGCGCGCCGAACAGCCGTTTAGAACCAAGTCGACTCACGACTCATCGCTTCCAACTTCCAACCACCATCCCTCCCGGCTCTCCACCATGGGCAATTCGGCATCATCCTCACGCAACGCACATGACGAGACGGTCGACTATGGACATTTGGTTCCTCAAGGGATCTACACCGGCCCGCGAGACTGGAACGAGCAGATCGTGGCGCAGGCGATCGTGGACCGGAAACTCGCTCCATTCTACAGGCCGCTGGAGGATTACGAGGACGACTGGGACGACGAGAAGATACTGGCTAACAGAAAGGAGCCGCCGCCCAGTCCGCCTGCTGAAGACGGCCACGGCGGAAATGGGACGCCTTCGCGCTCTGACGCTTCGAGCATCGCTTCGTCCAGGTTGACACATCATCACAAGAAGAGCCAGACTTCGAATAAAGAGCCGACGAGGAATCCCGAGGCTCTCATCTACCGCGGCGCCGTCGAATGTCCCATCTGCTTCCTCGTGCGTATCCGTCCTTCCCCACCTACGTCAGTCGTTATTCATACATATCATATCTTTGACAAATAGTACTACCCGCCGAATATCAACCGCTCTCGATGCTGCGATCAGCCAGTCTGTACCGAATGCTTCGTCCAGATTAAGCGCTCAGAGCCGACCACACAACACCTCCAATCGGACCCCGCCTGCTGCCCGTACTGCGTCCAGGAGAACTTCGGCGTGGTATACACGCCGCCACCATGGCGAGCCGGATTAGGAAGTGAAGGATCTGTGCGTATCATTATACGTTTGACATCCGACCAAGTATCCCTCTCCCCGGCTCTGGGCGCTTCCACTCGAAGTCGGAAATGCGGCATGTTTATTTCCGTGCACCGCGCGGCTTCCATGCCCATGCCATCCTTGCGCGTCAACCGCCGATCAGCCCCAAAGCGCCTGTTCCAATCTTCTTTCCCATGTCCCCGTTGTGTATTGGCAGAACCTAATGCGTTTGCGTTTTGCAGTCTCTACCCCCGTGGCCTGACCCGGCTAAAGCAAGCACTCCGCCTACGCCCACGGGTCCACCCGGCAAACAGAAGCGCCGCAAGAGCTTCGGTGCGAATGATCCCGACGTTGTTACTACCGGTACGTATGCCATGATTCTACCTGGCGCACCGTCTCATCTGATCGTGAATGAATGCCTACAGATCACATACGACCAGACTGGGAAGCCAAACTGCAAGCTGTGAAAGCCCAAGCTCAGCGCCGTGCCAACAGACGAATCATCATGCGCCAAGTCGGCGACAGGCTTATACCCGTGGGCGTCACGAGTGGTCGCGTGCACGCTCTACCTGCCGAGCTTGGTGGCGAGGGCGCTGAAGGATCGGCGGGTGGTGCTGGTGGTGCTGGTGGGGGAAGCACGGGACGGAGGTCGAGGAGGAGACAGCAGAACGAGTTGCAGAACTTGCTTGGCGGGATGGCGGGACAGGATCTTGAGGAGGTACGTACATCTGCTCAGTGGCATGCGTGGTCGTGTGATACTGACTTGCGTTTTCGTGTCGCAGTTGATGGTCATGGAGGCTATGCGGCTGTCGTTGCTCGAACATGAGGAGCAACAGCGAAAGGAGCGCGAGGCGAAGGAGAAGGAGGAAGCTGCTAAACGGGCGAACGGTGGCGAGAGCACCAGCATTGATGCAGCGGGTGCAGGCAGTAGCGCGCCAGCGCCAAGTAGCGACGCGACACCGGCAGGGAGCGCTGCTGCACCAGCCGCACTTGCGAGCATCGCTGCATCATCCCCTGTATCCTCTCCGTCGCCGTCACCTGCTGCCGCTGCAACACCGACCGGACGAGGTTCTCCAGTTGCACCTACGCATACGCACTCGCGCTCCGCCTCTGCATCCGCTTCAACCTCACCAGCTCCGGGTACACCAACACCCGCTCGCCTCGAACTGCCCAGCACGGGCACACCAACAGCAACAACCACCGCTCTCCCTCGCGCCGACTCTCCCGCAGCCGACCCAACTCCCTCATCAAGACTAGCAATCCCGCCGATCGCTGGGTTCGCAAGTGCCGAAGCGAGCGCTGAGGACCTACGGCCCATTCCTGCGCGCTCGGATACGATGCTGAGCACTATGACCGACGTCAGTATGGACGAGGGCGCTTCGACTGAGAATGCTGGGTATGGGTACTTGCCAGGTGGGAGTGAGGAGAGTGTTGTGGCTAGGGAGCCGTTGTTGGCCGACGACGCATGATGGCGGACGTGTGAGGCTGGGGCCTCGGCGATCTTGCTCCTTTCACATATAGCACCCATTACTGATGACCGGACGACTCGATGATTTGACGGACTAGATTGTGCATACGCCAGACTGGCCTTGATGTGTAGTGTACGCTTGAAGCGTTGTGCATATAGGATTGATCTTAATATTAGAGCTGTTTTATGCCATATACGTTTCTAGCATGTGGACGCCTGTGCTGATCACTAGGGATTACATTGAGTCGGCAACGAAGTATACAGGTCTAAGGGGCGTAGGGATACAAGGGACATGTCGCGTGTATCGTCAGAAAGGACCAGGAGAGTTACGAGTAAAGAGTGGATAATCTGTCGTCCCGCGCCCAGATAAATGGTACTAGAATCGAAAGTCATGATCAAACGCCTCTGGACGTGCTTGCTTTGCTGTCGTGACGACGATGCTTGGTCGGAGTCACAGGAGATACCGGAGAGGTCGGCAACGTCGGCCATTCGTCCTCTTGCGACGCCTTGTCTCCCTTGCGCTTGCCCGAGATCGTATGGATAGCGTTTTCGTAGAAGCGGGCCACAGGACGTGTGGCGCCCCGGAGGCTGGCAGTCGGCGTGCGAGGCGTGCCAGCCGTCTTGATGCCTCGGAATGTCGAGTACTTGGGCGTGACGACGTCTGACGCCGGAGAGCGCAAGTCGTGCGCACCGTTCGAGTACGATGATGCTGCATCGGCGTCGATGGAGAGCATGGCGATACCCTTGACGAGAGGAGATGGCAACTCTGCGGAAGGTAGAGCCGGGGTCTGTAGCTCTGGCTCGCTCTCGCTGCTGGAAGAGTTCGTAGGCGAGCCGGAACGATGGTTGCGGTGCGGGTTGAGCGGCTAGTGAACTGATCGGTATCGTGAGATGAAAGAGTGGCTGAGTCTACGCACCGATGGTCGGCTCGCGTGCGAGTGCATCGAAGGGGGATATCTGGGAGCCATGCTCCGTTGATCAAATACCTGCATCGCGTGAGTTGTGTGGGTTTGACCAAGAGACGAGACGTTCTCACCGTGGAACGAGGCGTGAGTGCGGATCTATCGTCTTTGCGAGAACTGGTCTGGCTCACGTTGCTGACCTCAGACATAGCGCTACCGATGGAGCGTAGCGATCCGTCCGCGTTGTCTCGAGCCTGTCATAGCGGTATCAGTTCAAACTCTTGCCTCCTGTTCCAGAGAGCACTCACCCTCGCCCGAATCTTCCCGTTGAGACAGTTCTATGAAAATGTATGGTCCTGTCAAGACGCGCATGAAACAAGAAGAGGTAAGAAGAGGTACCCTGAACTGCTTAGACATAGTCGCCTGCTCCCTCTCAGTCTTCTGAGAGAATAGCCTCTTCTTGCGCATCGAGAACTCATTCAATGCCGTCCTTTGTGATTCAACAAATTCAAAGGTGAGACAGAGATCGCAGCACTCCTTGAGTAGATGTTTACAGCGAATAGAGTTCGCCGTCCACGGGCGGTCCAAGTGGTTTAGAACGCGTCCCTTGCCGTAGCCGTCCGCGGCCTGGGGCGACGTCTTGTGTGGGAGAGCGACGATGTACTGGGGATGATAGGTCCACCTTGGCGAGGAGTGAAAGCAAGGAAGAGATAGCGCGGAGTCCGAGGATGGCCGGAGGAGTGGGTCAACTTCGGCCAGAAAGTACTTCAAGGCCGCAGGGATCCGGTTGGTCTTGCCGCCCTCGAACGTCGCGAAGAGATAGACCTCGAAGGACTGGCCTTGCTTTTCAAAGACCAAGCATGGGCGCATCTTTGAACTACGGTCGTCGCCGAATGAGGTGACGGAGGCCGACATGAGGTTCGGCATGTTGGCTCCAAGAAAGGCGGCAACAGGAGAGAAGACGGATTCTTCGATGCGCCAGATCTGACCGACTTGTGGAGGCGGAACGGTATCATCGGGGCAAGGCTTTGGATGTGCGGTGGTCATGGCAGGCGAGACGCGAGCTGCACATATAGTACAGCCGGAAGGCGTGGCGGAAGAGTCGTTATGAGCCGGCATAACGTAGAGGAGAGCAGCGGAAATAGACAAGGAACGTTGAGCGACCGGGCAAGATATGATTAGGATTCAGCCTGGGTGGTAGTAAATATATGCATGATCCGGGACGTGACAAGCGCTAGGCTGCCGAGCACGAGTGCAGAACAATTGCCCGTTAAGAGGATAACAAAGGCAGCTCGAACAGCGCCGCCCTACTAGGGTGATGGTCCTTGTCAGAGAAGCGCTGAAGCATTGCTCTTCGGCGATTGTCCCCGTTCTGCGGAACCAATGAGTAGAATATCGCGGCTCAGCTGCACGAGTGCCGGCCTGCAGTCGTCAAGTTGCCAGATCGGCGTGCACACCAAATATTTCGAAGGGCGGGCGAGGCACCGTTGTTATCTATTGCTAGCGAGCATCGGGTATGGCAAACGTATAGGTGTGGTATAGCTCAAAGTGAGAGCACGAACAAAGCAGGGGTCGCTGCTGAGTCGAACAAATAAACCGGATTTTGCCGTGGCGACGCTTCCGGTAGCCGGCTCCCACGGCCGCACGCCTCGCATTGTTGCCCGCATGGGTAATTGTTGTTCTTGATACCGTGCGTCAGGCGCAAGCTACTGTTAGTCGGGCGAATGAACCATTGGACAACACAAGAGGTACGTCCTTGCTTTCCTCTCCCATCTTCCTCACTCATTCCATCGCGCCATGCCTGCAGCCTCAGACGCATCCTCGTTGGCATCAAGTGCAAGCTACAACTCAGCTGATTTCAGGCCCAATACACCCCCACCGCCTGCACGACCATGGAAGTATCTCGAACACCCAGACGCGGATGAATGGCTTAGAGGGCCTCGGGAGGAACACAACTATCCTAATCTCGGGGATTTCGTCGTACTATCGATCGATCCTCTCGCCACGGTCGGCCACCTTGACGCCATCGCAAAGCGGGCTGCCCAACAACTTCCCATCCGAAAATATGTGGCTCTTGCGCTACAAGTAAGGTCTCTTCTTACTCGCATTGCGCGTAAGGGTTCTGATGCCGTCTACCGCCAGTCGTTCGGGCTGCCCTTGTCCACCAAACCGACTCACTCTTTCGACTTCATGTTCGTCCGGAAAGGTCGACCACAACCTAGGCTTCGCGAACTTGATACCGAGGATTCCTGTATCTCCATTCTTCCCAACGATACAGCCGTCAGCTCCTGTCCTCCCGTACGCCCAGCGCATCCTCTACCATGGGGCGACTGCTATCTGGACGCGACGTACGGATTCCCTCAGTCTTGTCGTGTGACATCCACCCGCCGAGACTACGTCCCGGTGTTGCCGATCCTGGACTCTGAAGTCATCCGCATTACTTCTCATCTTCGGCCATATTGGTCTAAGATCCACGATCTCAACACAGGAAACGGTGCAAATTGGTCCCAACCGCTCGACTTCGTCTCGCCTGCGCCATTGTCCTCGAAGGAGTGCTCTGCCGACGGCGTCCCCGCACCATCAGAAGGAGCACACCCATCGGTCATCGACTCGACTGGCAATCTACGCGTGGTCTCTGTCGATAAAGCCGAGCCCAACCCTAATTCTGCTCAAGACGACGTTTCTGTGATAGCCAGTGATGATGGCGCTCGAAACGAACCGGAGCCGGATACTGACGCCGAAGAGGATTTGGATATGCTTCTCAACTTTGAGAGCATGATGATGGACGCAGGCGAAGTGCGGGACCCTGTCGTCAATGTATGTTACAACCTCGATGTGGTTACCGAAATCGTCGACCCTGTTCACTTCCTAGAAGATGTCAAGCGTCTTCACATGTACGTTTCCAAGCTATTCTGTCGTATCTTGAGTCTCTAACGCTCCATAGGATCATGGACGAGGCGGAAATCCGCTTAGGTTTACGTCCGGATCCGGCAGCAACGGAGGCGCTCTCGGAGCATTCAAGCATTGTCGACGACCACGGAAGCCAGCGCTCTGTCGACAGAGACGCCGCAACGTCGGCACCTTCCGATGTTGTCCAGGAGAGCGCTCCCGAAACTCTGACTTCGAGGCGTGCGTTGTACGCTGACATTCGTTTTGACGACCGACTAACTGTCTCTGTAGCAGCGGCACGGGGATTGCGAGCCGGTGTCAATCGTGCGGCATTGAAACTATTCTCTTATACTCGCTCTCTTGTTCAAAAGCTACCGTCGTCGCGTCATAGGAAGATGGATGAGCTGGAACGGGACGATATATGATCCGCCTGGCCCTGTTCATACCTACTGTGCGAAGGCTGACTTATATACCTCATACTCGCACGCTTACTGTCATGTATCATACTTATAATCATTGCTCTATTGCCGTCACTATCATCTGCACAAAGCGCATTCATCTAGCGTTCCAGATCTTGTCGCTCATCAGCGGCTTGCTATTTACGACCACGAACGCGTCGCCCTCCTTCGTCTCGCGAGGGTTCGAAAGCACCGTATATCACGACCGAACACTGACTTCGGGTACATCAACACCTGGCGCCCGGCACGGGCCCACACACCAAAAGCCACCACCGACGTTCCCCTCACCATCGCCCTCATCGTGGCCAGAGCGGCCCCACCCAATGCTGGCTTCACAAGTGTCCCTGAAGTGTGCGCCGAAGACCTACGGCCAATCCGTTTCCGGCAAATCCATTACAACAAACATGGTTCACGAGTATACAAGGTAAGGTAGAAGAATAGAGGGGTGGATGTTACAGAGCACTGAAAGATGTAAGGAATGTATGAGCTGCCGTCCAGCGTACAGTTGTAAGATCATCACGTTCATAATAATAGTCATATATCGCATGCGTTCAAACTCCTCGGGCCGTGCTCGCCTTGCTAGCACGACTATCACGTCGACGATGGCGCCGAGAGCTATTAGTAGGAGTAGTGGGAGAAGTAGGCAGCGACGGCCAATCCTCAGCAGTCTTCGCCGGGCCCGCCTGGTTCTTGATAGGCCGGAGAGCGCGATCAAGGAGCGAACGCGGAAATGAACGGGTACTTCCAGTCGGCGAGCTCGGTACAGCGGGGTGCCGGCCGAAGGCCTTGCGCTTTGGTGTGGGGGTATCGGCGAGCTCGGGTTGGGAGTCTGTGGCTGAGTCGAGAGTGAGGCGATCGATGCCGACGATGAGGGGCGCTGGGAGCTCTGCGTGGGGAAGGGCGGGTGTCTCTGGTTCCGGTTCGCTCTCTCCGCTGGAAGATTCCGAAAGACTGGGCTTGCGGGACATTGCCTGTGCTGGTTCCTCCTTGGCCGGCGCCTGTGATGTGTTTGAGTCAGCTTGTGAACACTTCGTATTGCGTGTTGACGAGACGTACTTGGACACCTGCAGCGCTGACACAATCTCGCAACTTGGAGGGGCGGGCCGGCGCCTACCAGCAAGTCAATGGATTGAGTAGTCAGTGGGAGAAGGAAACGTACTTGAGTATGGCGTGTTCCCCTTGTGAGCTGCGATGCCATCTCGGAACCGGCGCTGCCGAATGAGAGCACAGATGCGTTACGACGAGCCTGGGGTATAGTCAGAACGATGAATCGCAGATATCAATAGGAATAACGCACGTTTGCCTCAATCTTCGCGTCTAGGCAAATCTGAGAGTGACAGTTGAGCCGGAGTCGGTCAGGATGTAGAGAAGTATACACTCGCCTGAAACTCTTCCGTCATGGTCGCCATCTCCTCAGCAGGTATACTGTGCCATTCTCGCATCTTCTTGGCCGCCAGCTCCTCGAGTTGCTCCCGCTGTGACGAGCTGAACTCGAACGTTGGGCACGAATTGTTCCTTGCATTGTACGTGGGCGCGTGAGTACACTTGTCGCAGTTCGTCCAAGGTCGATCCAAGTGATTCAAGACCCTTCTGCGAGAGAAGCCCGGCGATGTCTGGTGAGGCAGTGCGACCAGGTATTGAGGGTGATGCCCCCAACACGGCGACGCGTGCAAGCATGGAAGGCGTTTCCCTGCAGAGTTCCTCATACGACGGGCGCCAGACGCTTGGGGGTCGACTTGCGCCAGCCAGTACTGCAGAGCCTTTGGAAGACCGTCGATCTTGCCGCCATTGAAGGTGCCGAACATGTAAACAATATAAGCGATCGACTTGTTCTTGGCGGTTTGTTCGAAGATGACACAAGGACGAGGTTTCGACGCGCGGTCGTCCGAGAATGAGGTGACAGAGCCTGCTATGATCTCAGGCATCGTTTTTCCCAGGAGCTTTGCGACTGGCGTGAAGATAGACTCCTCGATAACCCATATCTGCCCCAGCTTGGGCGCAGACTGTGCGTTCACGCGCGGTAAAGCATCGGATGTCGGAGGTGAAACGCGGCTCGCGCATACTGCGCAGCCCTTTGTAGTCCAGCCAGATTCAGAAGTGGAAGGTGTGCTATGAGCCAGCATAGTAAGACGTAGAAGGTGCGTGACGGAAAGACTGAGGACGTGGTCGGGATTCGGCAATGGGAGTACCATGGGCAACACGTTGCATAATATATCGCCTGCGCCGTCAGCGTAAGCGGGTCTGAGTACAAACAATTGTCGAATACGGGAACAATAATTGAAAGGGCGAGTGCTCAAAGCGGAATAAGACTTCGCATGATTAGTGCTGTTATCGCGGTAATCGCACCTGTCAGCTATAAACAATTGCCATACTCGGTAGCTGTCTCCCGCCTGCTGCATCGTACCAAGGCCTATGCTCCATTGCATTTGAGCCTGCTAGAAGGATGGTTCGAATTGAGTGGTTGAACCGCGAGCCTGTGCATTTCTCTGGTGATGAGAAGGGAGTCCTGCTCTGGGCTTGCTTTGTTCTCTGGGACACAATATTCAGTGATAGCGAGACAACGGGCATGGGTCGTTAGTTGCGTTGAGATGATGAGCGCTGATGGCAACAGGCTCAGTCGCTACCGGATCGGGTACTTGTTGTTCTCAACGCTGCCACGTGCCAATTGTTTGGTGCCACCACCACCACCACCTAGTCGCCGCTACGAGATGTCCGAAAGTAACTTGGCCTTCCCCCTTCCCACCACCTTCTCCTCAAACCAGGACCATGTCATCCCCGCGCACATCATTCTCTGATTCTGATTCTGAGCCTGAGCCTGATTCGCCTGTACCCTTCTGTCGACCATGGAAGCACCTCGAGAATCCAGCTGCCAAGGAGTGGACCCGCGGCCCAAAGGAGATTCATAACTATCCCAACCTGGGAGACTTTGTTGTCTTGTCTATAAACCCTCTCGCTAGTGTCGCCCATCTCGACGCTGGCGCCAAACAGGCCGCCAGGTCGATACCAAGGCGAAAGTATGTGGCGTTGGCCCTTCAGGTGCGTCTTCCCAGATAGCCGCCTACCTCATGCTGATATGGTCTTTACAGACGCATGGCTTGCCCATTCCTTCGAAGCCCACTCATCCCTACGACTTTCTATTTGTCCGTAAAGGCAAACCTCAGCCCAGATTACCGGATATCGATACGGACAACTCCTGTTTCGCCATTCTGCCAAACGACATGCCTATTCCTGAGCGGCCCACTGTACGACCTGCTCAACCACTGCCATGGAATGATTGCTATCTGGATACGACGTACGGATTTCCGTATCCTTGTCGGGTGACATCTACCGGTCGCGACTACACCCCGGTTCTACCTATGCTCGATACTGAGATCATACGCATACGGAACATCCTACAGAAACTCCGTTTTGGGCTGACAGATATTCGCATGGAGATGGGTGACAAGTGGCCACAGCCCTTCGATTTCATTGATTTGCCCGCTCTCTCGGACGCATCGGTTCTTCAAGGCGAAGGGATGGAACCGCGCGAGGCCGCTCAAGCGACTGGGCTCACACTCGAAGCAACTACTCCGGTGCACCCAGATGCAGACGACGCGTCTATCATCGGCAGCGACGATGGCAGCCAGAGCGAAGCTCATGAGGAGCCTCCACCTGATGGTGATGGCGAGGAAGGACTCGAAACATTCCTTGCCTTCGAATCCATGATGAACGACGTCGGCGACCTTCGTGATCCTGTGGTTGACGTCTGGTATGATCTCGACGTGGTCACGGAGATAGTAGACCCTGTTCACTTCTTGGAAGACATGAAGCGTTTAACCATGTACGTCAACATATCGACCCCGGCGTATACTCGAGTTTCTGACGTTTGCTCTGCAGTATCATGGACGAGGCAGAAATGCGCCTGGGGCGACACCCAGATCCAATTGTGGAAGACAATGCGTCGGATTCCGAGCAATCGAGCTTACAGGAAGGTCATGGCGGCCGTCATTCCGTAGAGCACTCGTCAGATCTTGGGACAGATCCCGCTAGTACTCGAACACAACCAGGAACCTGGGTAGAATGTACGTCTCTCTATCGCTAGGCCTGAACATTAGCTCACAATGCTCCCAGCGTCCCGTCCTCGGTTAGGTTCTACAACCTCGAAACTATTTCTACGCGCTCGTACCCTCTTATACAAGCTCGGGATTGTGCGCTTCGGCAAGCCACCTGCTTCCAGGTCCAAGTCGGGACTGTGAACCCGCTACTCTCGTGTCTACCTTTATCTACTGTATACCTATCTTTCATCATGTGTATGGTATAGGCAAGAGTAGGCTGAGCCTTTCTATTGCAAGGTGATGATGTCGAAGGGGGATAAGCGCTGACGCGAACGCCAAATGCGCCCAACCTGAAGACTTTGTATACTTAGCTCCTGCGTAGCCGGTGCACTGTCGGAACAACTAGTAAGGTTCGGGCAACAGGAGAATTCTCGCCCATGCAAGAGCCACGCAAGGTTACCAGTCAATTGTGATATCGACTGTCACGAATAGGCATAGTAGTCGACGTCGTCGTCAGAGAAGCAAGTTCGATGTTGCCGCCCGAAGCGCTGATGCCGGCGGATCAACTGAGTTCGGATCACGCAACGTTGACGCAGCGTCAGCCTACTAATGCGGTTGTTGTTGTCCACTGTTGTCCAGTGCTCTTTTGTCTTACGTTCAACGTTTAACATCAGTGGCAGGCCCCGGAAATCTGGGGCCTTGTCCTTTACACTCTCCCCTAGAGCGGCATCTTGGTGAATCATGTCTGCCTCGCCTTCAGAATCTCTCGAATACGATTACGAGTCGGCACCAGACTCACCTGGTGCTCCTTCCGCACGGCCATGGAGATATCTCGAGCACCCAGACGACGACGAGTGGATGCGCGGTCCATCTGAGACGCAGACCTGGCCAAGCTTTGGAGACTTCGTCGTACTCTCGCTAAATCCCGTCGCTTCTGTTCGGCATCTGGATGCTGCAGCTCAAGAGGAGGCTCGCCAGATTCCTGTGAGGAAGTTTGTGGCTGCGGCCGTTGGGGTGCGTTCTCAATACCTACGCCGTACCAGTTGACTGACCGTCACGCAAGACTGTTGGTCTGCCGATCGATGAGAAAGCCCTTCATCCTTACGACTACCTCTTCGTTCGTCAAGGCAAACCCTCGCCCCGGTTACCCGGTCGTAACCCAGAAGATGTCTATGTCGCTATCGAACCAGATACAACGACTAACGAATCGCGTGCACCCATATGCCCTGCGCATCCTCTGCCTTGGCCCGACTGCTACTTCGACCTCACATGGGGCTTTCCCTACGAGTGCCGCTCTACCAACGTCACGCGCGACTACTTTCCTGTCCTGCCCATGAATAACTACGAGCTCCTTCGGGTCCATCACTACGTACAAGAAGGATTCGCGTACGCGAGGCAGAAATATGGAGCTGACCGACCCGACCCCTTGTCGTTCGTTGACGTTTCCGAAGATATCGTGCCAGTTACCCTGATCCCACCGCAGACATCACCAAGTGGTCCCCAACAGCTTGATTCACGTCCATCTGCGATCGCAAACGATGACCCCGATGACGACGTCTCCATCATCGCTAGCGAAGACCATGCTGATGATGACGATTACTCTATCTCGGACTCTCACTCCCAATCCGATACAGATGACGAGGAGCTCAACATGCTTCTGCAGTTCGAAGCTATGATGAAGAATCAGGGCGATCTGCGAGATCCAGTTGTCGATACCTGGTACGACTTGGACATGGTCGATGAGATCACAGACCCTATCCTCTTCCTACGGGATGTGAAACGTTTGAAGAGGTATGTCAACTCGTTTGTATATTTCTGCTCCCGCTTACCCTCATAAACAGCATCATGGATGCTGCTGAAGCCCGTCTAAGAGCACGAGCAGCTGCGCCACTCCCTCATGAGATGCCAACTACCAGCGTGAGAGATGATGATCCTGGCTTGGGAGGCACCCCTGGAGCTGCGCCCTCCCTGGCGCACTCAGGTGCAGACACAGGCTCACACGCGACGTCTCCGCCGGCTATCTCAACTGACGTGCCTGCTCGATCCCCTCCCTCGGATACCTCTTCGAAGCGTGAGTCTCAGTCCGGATTCCATGTTGGTTCTTCTTTGATAAGCGAACGCTACAGGGAAATTGTTGCGTTCATACCTGAAGACTCTATCGACGAAGCTCGCTGTCCTTGCGACGATGCGTATTCGCAAACTCATTCGTGCCAGTCCCGAGGGTAGAAATACGGCTTATTCGGATTCTTGACCTCATTCTACATCCCAGTAGCGCAGCTCGTGTGCAAGGAATACCCCGTCTCGTTCAGCAGTCTCATACCGAGATGCGCGCTCGCCATTGGCCGCTTGCTGAAGGTCTCGTAACAGTTGAATGCGTATCTAGATGCTGGAAGATTATATTACTAGTCTTATATACATTCCATTCTTATCCCATTCTCTAAGAGACGACATGCGCAAAGGAGAGGGACCCCAGAGGGTTGTGGGCGACTCTCGTTGAGCGCTAAGCAAGCGTCGTGATCGACGAAGAGTAAAGGCATGTGATCGCGTTAGACATGCCGGCGGCTCGTATCATTGACGAGCGTTCTCAGGCGTTCTCTCTCGTCTTGCTCTCGTCCTGCTTTCGAATACGACCACACAGACTGTAACATCTCGATTCAACAACATGATCGTCCCGTCCTCTTGAACGCCTTGTACTTTGTACGCAAGCGTGGGCTTCGCGGATGCAGCAGCTGTTGATGCGTACGACGACCCTGAGAGCGTCGACGCCGAGTTGGTGTACTGGGTGCTGATCTGTGTAGTCTGGCAATAGATTTTAGGATCACGAGTATGGGTCATGATATCAATTAAGAATACTAGGTGGGATAGAGAACAAAAGGAGCGAGTAGCACCCTGGAAGGTCAAATGAGTGCATGAATCTGTCGGCCGGCGTACAGATGTGATATCACCGAGTCCGTGAGAATCATAAACGTGTTCAAATGCCTCGAGCCGTGCTCGCCTTGCTAGCACGACTATCACGTCGACGATGACGCCGAGAGCTGGTGGTAGGCGTAGTTGGAGAAGTAGGCAGCGACGGCCAATCCTCAGCAGTCTTCGCCGGGCCCGCCTGGTTCTTGGTAGGCCGGAGAGCGCGATCCAAGAGCGAGAGCGCAAACGAACGGGTGCTTCCAGTCGGCGAGCGAGGCACAGCAGGGTGCCGGCCAAAGGCCTTGCGCTTTGGTGTGGGGGTATCGGCGAGCTCGGGTTGGGATTCCGTGAGAGAGTCGAGGGTGAGGCGCTCGATGCCGACGATGACGGGAGTTGGGAGCTCGGCGGGAGGAAGGGCAGGCGTCTCTGGCTCCGATTCGCTCTCTCCGCTGGAGGACTCCGAGACGCTAGGTGCACGAGTGGACGCCTGGGCGGCGGCTTCCTTTGCAGGTACCTATGATGTGAACGAGTAAGCTTTGGTGTGAGCGCTATATCCAGTGAACGGCGTACCTCTTGATCCACTGCATTGAAGACATCGCGCAGACGCGAGGTGGGCGGCTGCATGAAGTTAGAAATTTGTATAGACGGCGTCGGGTGTACTCACCTTCGTATAGTCTGTTCTCTCCGTACGCCCTGATGCGATATCGCTCCCGGCTTGACCGAATGACCGAACGGAGTCGGTGTCGCGCGCCTGGACGACAATATAAGTCAGCATAGTCGTGAAAGAGCAGGTACAGGCATCGCACCCTCGCCTCGATCTTTTTGTCCAAAGCAATCTAACAGCGGCACCCTCAGCACGACGCGGTCGGTATGAGCAGAACATGCACGTACTCGGAACTCGTGTGTCAAGATGCCTCTATCTGCCTTGTTCTTGAGGAGCCACGAGCGGAGCGTATCGCGATGTAGCGTGCCCAGCGCGGCACGCTGGGGCTCCACCATCTCGTACGTAGGGCAATCGGGTCCTTTCTCACGAGGCGGGTGCTTGTGTCCCTCGCAGTTTGTCCAAGGACGGTCGAGCTGATTGAGAACCCTCCTGAAGCCGAACCCTGGGAGAGTACGATGAGGGAGCGCGACCAGAAACTGGGGATGGTGTGTCCAATTCGGAGACGTATGCAGACAAGGTAATTTCTGCCTCCTATAGTTTGTTACGGGATAGCGCGTAGATGCATGAGGGTCGACTTGAACCAAGAAGTATTGAAGAGCCTTGGGTAGGCGGTAGATCTTGCCGCCATTGAAGGTGCCGAAGAGATAGACGTAGTAAGATCCGTCTGACACCTCCTGGGTGATGACGCAGGGACGAGGTTTGGAAGCACGGTCGTCCGTAAACGATGTGACGGAGGAGGCCATGATGGCCGGCATTGTCTGGCCGAGAAGAGTCGCCACCGGGGAGAAGATGGATTCTTCGATGCACCAGATTTGACCTGCTCGTGGAAGAGAATCCATATCGTTTGCCCATGGCAAAGCATCAGTCGTTGCTGGGGACACGCCTGTTGCGCAGACTGGGCAGCCTTGTTGAATCCATCCCGAGTCTGAAACGTGGGAAGTGCTATGAGCCGGCATAGTGAATGTGAGGAGCGATGGAAGGAAGGTGGGAGTCGCGGACCGCAATGAATAGGGCCCAGCGGGTGAGGCGTCAAGTAATATACACCCCCGCTCTCGGCGCGACGGTCGAGGACAAACAATTATCGTATGCGAAAACAACAAGCACCATCCAATATGGCATAAGACATTTCGTGATGGAGGCTATTATTGAAGTAACAAGCATTCATCAGAGGACCACCCAAATGCTTGA